CAATCAACACAAATGGTCTTCGAAAGAGAATTCAGTTAAACAAATGGATCTTTGACATCTTTTAACTATAGAAGTCGTATTACCTCTAAACGTTTTCCATAAACCGTTCTAACAAACCACCCAACATAATTATAATAATCAGCACCATGGAATTGGGCGGAGTTTCAATCCAGGGCGGGTTGATGCATATTGTTTTTTATTGCTCCAAATATTAAAGCTTCCGAAAAAATATAGAATTAAAGGAGAAAGAAGTTGGGAAAAGGGAGATGTTTATTTCCCATTGCATACGAGGTGTGTTCAAAAGGTATCGCGACTTTTGTGTTTTTTAAAAAATTATTTATTTATTCATGAGTACCTATTTTGTCCCCTTCAAAGTAATCCCCATGAGATATTATACACTTGTGCCAACGGGTTTTCCAATCTTCGAAGCACTTCAAAAAATCATTTTAAAAAATCTTTTTCAGCTCCTCCTTCGATGCCGTCTTTATCTCGTCAAGCGTAGCGTAACGTCGTCCTTTCATGGGCCTCTTCAGTTTAGGGAACAAGAAAAAGTCACAGGGGGCCAGATCTGGGGAATACGGTGGCTGCGGCATCATTAGTGTGTTGTTTTTGGCCAAAAAGTCGCGCACAAGCAACGATGTGTGAGCAGGGGCGTTATCGTGGTGCAAAAGTCAATTTTTGTTCTTCCCCAAATCCGGGCGTTTCTGGCGGATTGCTTCGCGCAAATTGCGCATAACTTGCAGGTAATATTCCTTATTGACCGTTCTACCCTGTGGCAAGAACTCATGATGCACCACGCCCCTGCAATCGAAGAAAACTGTCAGCAAAACTTTCACATTCGACCGAACTTGGCGCGCTTTTTTCGGTCTTGGTTCGTGCGGCAGCTTCCATTGAGATGATTGAGCTTTGGTTTCCACGTCATAACCATAAACCCACGCTTCGTCACCAGTTATGACCCTCTGGAGCAAATTTGGGTCGTCGCGGACAGAGTCCAGCACCTCATTAGCAATGTTCATGCGATGCTGTTTTTGGTCGCAATTGAGCAATTTTGGTACGAATTTCGCGGCGACCCGTCTCATGCCCAAATCATTGATAAAAATCGAATGGCACGAGCCAATCGATATGTTTAGGTCCTCAGCAACTTCTCTAACGGTGATTCGACGATTGGCCAATATCATTTTCTCCACTTCATTAATTTTTTCGTCTGTTGTTGAAGTTCTCGGGCGTCCGGCACGCTCTTCGTCGTTCACATCTTCTCGGCCTTCTGAGAACATTTTGTACCACCGATAAACGTTGCTTCGGTCCAAGGTAGCTTCTCCGTATACCACAGTCAACATTCGGAATGCATCCGCGCACTTAATTTCGTTTTTCACACAAAATTTGATACAGGTTCTTTGATCCATTTTTTTAAATAGGTAAAAATCTAAGACGATCCAAAACACCTGCAAGCAAAGCAGCTGTCAACAATTAAGTGAACATTCAAAATGGCCGAGCTTGTCGGCATAAGTGAGATACATGAGTACCAACATAAAGCCACAAAAAGATCGAAATTCGAATATACGTAACCCGCGAAAATTCAAAAGTCGCGATACCTTTTGAACACACTTCGTACATTGTGTGTCCAAGAAATTTGATGAATGGTAAATAAAATGCAAATTGTCACGAAATGACTAGGTATTTGTACTTTTATAATGGTCATAAATGTGCCTGGATCATGGTGCCATGATCAACGAAAGCTGCACCCCTATACCGCATTCCATGAGATCATGAACTCATGGAATTCGTGTAATCTTTACACAAGGGGATAAGAAACAACAACAACATAATGGTCATAATCGAGTGTGTATTTTTATACAACTGAATAAAATATATCATTATACATCTTACCCATCACCTCTTTAAAGTTGTAAGTTGAAGTTATTCAGTGAGTTTATATAATTTTTTGTTCGCCTAGCCTGGCGTGCTGACGTCGCCAATAAACATATTAATTCTCCTAAGCCATATAATCTGCCTGCTACGCTACAACAAGTGGAGAAGCTGGAAGTGCCATACAGATTCACTCTCGAGAAAAAAAAAAACGAAAATAAGTGAAGTAACTGAAAAAGAAACAACAATAAATGTTAAAACCTAGGCAGCAACTCATGTAGGCTCTTTGTTTGTTCAAAGGAACCCCTCTCTGTTTTCTAGGAGTATGATGAAGGACCCCACAACTGGATAAAGATGTATGAACGTGTAGTAAGGCATAATCATTGGGATGGAACCCTTCGTCCTGTGTGATAATACTTACTTCTTCCTCGCAGGGACAGCTCTTCGATGGTTGGATACAATGGGGAGATCATCCATATATGGGATGAGTTCACGGCCCAAATAAATATTTGAATTTTAAAAAAAGAGAGCCTGAGGATGCAAGCCGAAAAGTAGCTTACATTCTTTGGCATTTAAAAGGGAATGGGCACTACACCTCGATGAATGGAATTTAATAAATTAATTTGAATATTTTAAGACAGTTATGTGATTCGCCTGGAAAGAAATGTCGACTTCCAAAAACGGGGTTATTCATCATGAGAATGTACACCGCCGCTATGTACTGAAGTTTCGGGGCACCCCAATACTTCAGCGTTCTCCAGACTGAACTCAAAACAACTTTTTCTCCTCCAAGACTCAAAAGAGTCTTAAAATGAAATAGACTGCCAGTACATAGGACATCGTAGCAGAATCTAAAAGGTGCTGAAGAGCTTTCTAAGATTTTCTAATATGTTTGGAACCCTGGGAGAAACGATGATGTAGAGTTGGGAGAGGGAAATTTTGAAAAATTCTTATAAATTATTCTGATTGGCTTACAATTATTTAATAAAATTTGACCATTTTAAGCGAATTTATTCGGCACACCTTATATATCATTTATATGTGAATATATTGTTTTAGACACCTGCCTCAGGTATATACGTTGCGGCCTCGTGGACTCAATCCAGGTGGACTTGGGACGGTAAAAGACTCGAGTGTTGTTTGACGGAGTACAGAGATGAAGTGGAATCAGGGAGGGATATTTTAAGTGACAGATGACCTTGATGAGTGGTCACCTTCCACATCCATATATGGAAGGGCAATCACACACGCCCGATTCATTCACAGATTTATTTTTACTCCACCGGATTCTTCAATGGACGGGATCAAGTTAGACACCGCCCAACACCGGCCTAGCTGCCGACTCTCGCCTACATCTCAGGGTGTGGTCGCAGGTTTGGTAAATTCGGCCATCGAGTTGAAATAGGAATTCTTTATCAACGCTTAATTTTCAAAGGACAAATTTCTCAAAGGTAATACTTGGGTGTGTTATTCTGAGTTATCGGTCTTGTCTCGGTCGATCTTACCATTCCCTAGGCATGTGTGTTCTGCATGCTATCACATACAAAGATTTAAAATATAAACAAATTGTACCATAACACACGATAGTAACTAGGCAAGAATAGCTTCAAAAAAAGACTCTATCTGTTTGAAAGAGGGAAGGTTCAGGAAAATGGTGGGAAGTGGACAAGGTTAATGGTCAGGAAGGAAGGAAGGTGACCAACGTTATATTCTCTGGGAAAATAGAGAACACCGGATGGCTATTGAGAGAGTCAATGGGAAAGGTAGATGTTGACACTGGCGCAGGGTAAATAGAATACAACTTTGTGTGAAGAGAAACACACAGGTGTGCATCTAGGGCAGTGGTATGTGTGGAAGGGAAGGAGACAAACATATGAAGACACAATTAGGAAAAATATTTAAACGTTTATTTGAGAAACTGAATATAATGGCGTTTTATTTATTGGTGTTATCAGACACACACATTCAGCTTTATTAAGACCACCGGTCTTATACAGATTCACCACAGGAAGGAAGCATAGATGGAGTTCCTATACTCCAGGTAGCGTAGAGTCCAACAGCCTCCAGGTCTGACGTATGTCCAGTGGTCACAGAATTCACCGTGCATAGGTTAGAGCAGGGGTCGGCAAACTGCGGCTCGCGAGCTACATGCGGTTCTTTGGATGTGAAGCTATTTATATAGTTTCATACGTAAATATTATTTATGTGAGTACTATTTATTGTTGGCAAGAAAACATTTTGTGGCTCTTTAAAAACTTTGAAATTTTTAAATTATAATTTTTGACTCTTCCGACTTAAAATTTTGCCGACCCCCGGGTTAGCGTATCACTGAAAAGACGAGTATGGAATCAGCCGCGTTCTAGTCTTCGCTTTCCACATCCAAATGGACCACGACATTTGACGATTCTATTAATCTCCTCCGAACAGTATGACTGTGACGTGTAGAATTTATATAAACCAAAGAGAAGACCTTACTCAAACATCATTGTACTCATCCAATTATATATTTGTTCACTATCGGATTGAGACAAAGATTTTATTTATTGCCACTATGTGGTGAGGGTAAAACAATTTTTAGTTAGAAACCAAATTAATTTCGAAAGAAAGAATTGTTGAAACAAAAAGCCGCGGGGATACATTGAAAGGGGACAATTTGTTTGAGAATGTGGGTGGGTTGGTACAATTGGGTTCGGTGGTCTCGTCAGGTTGTCTGAGATCTCCTGAGGATGGCTTGGGATCTTCATCTTTTGGGAAGGTGCTCTCGTCGTGGAACACACTGAAAATAAACACATGGTCGCCGAGCTGGACTCACGATATATTGAGAATATACATTCGTTAATTAAATAATGCCACATGTTTCTGGATATGAGTTTCTATTGTCTTTATTAACGTAATCTCGAGCTTTCGGGATCTCTGCCCTTCTACAAGAGTACTGTACTCCCGTAGAAGGGCAGAAATGCCCGAAAGCTCGAGATTACGTTTAATAAAGCTAAAAGAAACTCATCTCCAGAAACATGTATCATTATTAATATATACAGTTATCAGCGTCATAATCAAGCAACAATTCTTTATCAATTCTGTCACTGTTTGCTTTGCGAATGGAATAAATACCCAAATATGGCCATTTCTCATATCCATCGTTGGTTCAGTGGTAGAATGCTCGCCTGCCACGCGGGCGGGCCCGGGTTCGATTCCCGGCTGATGCATTTTTTTTTTTTTACAATTTTTAAAACTCATTTATATATTATACAAGAATGACATCCACGGCGCCAATTTATAATTGTAACGAATAGTATTTGAATAAAAGCATTTAATCGGGTAAAACCCGGGCGTTGCCCGGGTCATTCGGCTAGTTTAATTAATATCCAGGAGATTTAAATCAATTGAATACATATTCGTGGAAAAATAAATGAACAATTTACCTATATTTAATTCCATGCGGCCGTTGACGAAACGTCGAATCCCAGCAATTTTTATTTGATGCAAGCTGGCAGCCCGATTCTTCTTTCTGTCCTGGACATAGGACGACTGCTACATCAAGCTTAGTTCTCTGGCTTCGCTAGAATGTTCTATGGTCGTGTCCCGTCTAGGCAGAGCTTGGTAACTTCTGAGAGCCAAGTCTCGACTGGGAACTTAAGCTAAAGTACTGTTGAGATACTGCGTCCAAAAATGTCGAAATGTTCTTCAGCAGCGCAACTTAAAAGTTAACAACCCGATGCTTTTGGCCGCAAATGTGAGCTGAATTCGTGCCAGAAGTATGTAGATGAGAATTTACTCTTCGAAATAATGAAATTTTCAGCATTTTAAAAAATGATCAATTGTGAAAATATTTAAGATAGATCTTTCTAAATATTTAAATATATAAATTACGTACGTGGTTGACTTTTCTTGATTCATCAAGAAATTTGGTTGTCCAAATATCATTGGAACAAGTTAAATCAATGTTAAATTGATTTTTGTTCCACTAGATGGTGCTCTGCCATTTAACAATGTTCATGTGAGCGGTCAGAAAATGCCATTTTTGTTTTTGAATGATAATATTTAGGCGACAAAACTAAGAATGCCTTAGCAACACAATTTGTGTCAGGATAGAGTTGACACTTTCTCCATATCAAAATCAATAATAAAAAATAATAAGAAGAACAAATCTCATAATACGTAAGTATATAGATACTGTAGGTGTCATTTGTAGGTAGCAGCATAAGAGAGTCGGTGGACGAGTGGGTAACACCCTCGATTCCCGACAGCCATGAACCGGGATTGAATCCCGCGTTAACATTTTGTTTAATATGTGAATAACCTTCACATATACTTTATTGTTGAAAATTTCATAAACTAGGTTGCTCTTTCTGAGCGGAAATAAAGTTGGGTTCGGTTGCCTCGTCAGGTTGTCTGAGATCTCCTGAAAGATGGCTTGGGATCTTCATCTTTTAGGAGGGTGCTGGCGTCCTGGAACACACTAAAAATAAACACATGGTCGCCGAGCTCGTCTCACGATATATTGAGAATACATATAAAAATAAAAATAAAACGATAAGAGGAGCTTCTTTTATAAATTTTAATGCGCAAGCTTTCGGACCTAACGTCCTTCTACAGGCATGGATAGTGGTAATACCACTATCCATGCCTGTAGAAGGACGTTAGGTCCGAAAGCTTGCGCATTAAAATTTATAAAAGAAGCTCCTCTTATCGTTTTATTTTTATTCGTATAAACCAATTATTAAGAGTTCCTAATCGTTTAATTGAGAATACATATTCGTTAATTATATAATGCCACATGTTTCTGGAGATGAGTTTCTTTTATCTTTATTAACGTAAGCTTTCGGGATCTCTGCCCTTCAACAAGAGTACTGTACTTCTGTAGAAGGGCAGAGATGCCCGAAAACTCGAGATTACCTTAAAATAAAGATAAAAAAAACTCATCTCTAGAAACCTGTACCATTATAATAAAGTGATTTTGGAACAAGGAACAAGTGTGTAGCAGCATTGACAGAACAGATGGCTTCATCTCTCTCTCTCTCTTTGAATTTTTATCTCCAATCTTGTTCTATGGTGTTAACCTCTACCTTACAGAAGAAATGGAAGCCGTGCTGCCTGTCGTCAACACAACAGAAATTTCAGGGTCGGCGTAACCTTGGCGCCGAGCCAGAGCTGTGTACCGTTAGACTTTCTGATGTTTTGTGGGTACATTCTCTTCGTCACTTAACACATTGTAGCGGTACAGGATTTCACTTGGTGAACCTCTAGCTTAGGAATGTACTAGATGGAAATATCTTATAATTACACAATAATAGGAGGAATCGCTAGGTATCATTTATAAGAAATAAAACCTAACAGCGACAAGTTTCTTTGTTGAAAAGGTATAAGCTTGGCGAGCTTTCGAACAACACACAACGTCCTATAATAATAAATAATATAACGAAATATTGCTACGTTTGCAAAAAAAAAAAAACTACATGTACATATATATGCATTATAATGTGTAATTTGTATATTTTGGCTTTAAATCTCATTTCTTGGTTTCTCAGGAAGCCACTGGGACCAAAACTATTTTTGGTCTCAGTGGTACAGCCTGCTCAACGCTGACGAGCGCCAACAGCGCGAAACGCGTTCGTGGATGGCTTTTCTTGATTTATCAAGAAATTGAGTTGGCCAAATATCAGGGAACAAGCTAAACAATGTTTAGTGGATTTCTGTTCCACCAGATAGCGCTCTGCCTTCTGAAAAGCACATGTGCTCCTGGTCAGGATATGCCTACTTTGTTTTTAATATCAACACCTGATCTTTTATTTTTTTCTATTGTTTTTTTATATATATGCATGTTGTAATTTTATTTTGGATAAGTAGAAATATTTTCTGTATCCTCTAGTTTCTTGTATTCAGCCTGTTGAAGGACGTTGTCCGAAAGATCGCGAAGCTTATTTCTTTCGCAATGAAGAAATATGTCACCGTTATCTTTTATCAGAAACAATTACTTTATTTACGTAGATAGATTTACAATGGTCGTAGAATGTTCAGAATTGAATATCCTACCCTTCATCCTTCAGTCTTAGCTCAACTTCGTCCTTGGAGTTGCGAGACATTAGGAACGAATCCAACGATATAGAATGGGTCGTAGGGTTCCAAGATATTGTTTAAAAATAATTTCTGTTGATATTATAGTTACAATATACAAAGCAATGACGCGACATCTCTATATAACGAATGAAGACATTAAGACGCCAATGTTTCCCTTTTACAAATAAATCAAACTTCCACTATCCTTACTGCGATGAAAAATATTATATGTATTTCTACTGTCCCCTAAAAGCTTATATCCATAGTTTGCTTAAATACCATTACTAAGATTCCACTCTTCAGTGCAGCATATAAAAGCAGAATTATCCAATACAGTATTAAAGCTCTAAAGAAGCGGTCTGGTAGATTAAAAAAATTGGCAAAACCGCTGGGAAGGTTCATCATTTATGAGGCAAGCCCTCCCAATATTTTTTCATCGCAGTAAGGACAGTACAAGTTTGAATTATTTGTGAAGGGAAACTTTCACGTCTTAATGTCTCTTCATTCGTTAGTTATATGTTTAAAACAGCGTTTATTTTAATATATTTGTGTTTTATACATATGTAATCACGTTATGGTTGTTTTAAAGAGTAATCAATTTTTGTGGAAGCGTTGTGAAAATAATTTAGAAACATTTTATATCAGGCATTACTTGTTATATTTTTAAAATATTCTCCACAACCTCTTAACAAAGTGTCAATGAAATATAAAGATATCTCATCAGTTCAAATATGTCATTTGTTAATTACAAAGCAAAACTGAGCATTCCCAATTCCTATTGGCAGCTTCTGTATTTAGCCGATAGAACTTCATATCACGCGCATAAAGGTGAATATTTGCACATAAAGGTGAATATTTGCACATAGAGAGGTGAATATTAGCATATTATTTTCATATAAGCGTGAATATTCATGGTAATAGGATTGAATTTACGCAATTTTCTTGAACCCAATTTTCAAATGAGGAAACTATTAATGGGATAGGGTGTATTATAGAGGTTAACTCTCCAAGAACCACTTTAGAATAAAGCCAAAGTAATCCTCCTCTGGTTTGCCTGAATTATAGAGTTAAAAAAATTGACTTGGCGCAACGCTGTAGCAAGCTCGCGTCTCACAAGGAAAATTCTCAAAGGTAGATGGCATTATTGAAAGGAAAGCCCATTTCGACTGTCAATTTAATCATTACGTGCAATCAAGGTCGGACATAGGTCGTGGTCCGAATCACATTGCCTAGAGGAGGAGACGACTGAAAGGTTTTATCCAGTTCACCGTGGCAATCGTTGGGTTTATCTCAGCGACTTTAACCAGCCAAGAGAGAACTATTTTTGTTCAAATTCCATATTTAACAGAGACCTAAATTGTGGGTTAGGAAAGTCAAAGAAACTTTTCACGGGACTTTATTATTGGAACAGGATTCTGCTATGACGGCAAACTTTCTTGGAAAAGGTAAAAATTAATTGGAATGGGGAGCTATTTCAAATTCATTCTCCTCTATTTTAGATAACAAAATACCCAATTTAACCAAGGTATATCTCCACCAGAACAGGGAGTGCCGTTCCACCGTAGGGTTGGGGCCGGAATTCCACACACCGTGGTCTTGTAGAAACAGAGGATAAGATATAGGAGCCCTGCGACCTTGATCGCACGCAATGATTAAATTGACACACGAAAGAGGCTTTCCTGTTAATAATGCAATCTACCTTTGCTATTGAAGAATTTTTCCCTTAGTAATGTGACTTAGAATTTGTGTATGTATCAATGAATAGGATCGTTTTCACAATTTGGCGTTTTAACGTTTTCCCGGATTTTTTTCCGATAAGCTACATTACAACTTCTTGTTGTTGTTGCTTTCCCTTTTTATATTACTCGTACATATGGAGAATTTGTTATGTAAAGATTGTTTTGGAGTTCTGGACATATCTTGACTTCAAAGGTTTATTAAATCCAGTTATATTGTTACACAGGCACTATATTTTGTTCTGAAAACGGGTCTACAGAATGTTTTGTATTTACAGAAGAACAGAATGATAGAATTACGCCTAAGAAAGAATATCGTATTCATTAAAACGAATTTTCAAAAAGTTAAACTCAGGACCGGAATATCCCGATTTGGTCTTAAACCGAGAATTATTTGGAAATGTGTTTGATAT